GAAGAAGGAGGGGGAGGAGGTGGAGGAGGAGGAGAAGAAGGGGGGGGAGGTTGAGGAGGAGGAGGGGGAGGAGAAGAAGGAGGGGGAGGAGGTGGAGGAGGAGGAGAAGAAGGAGAAGGAGGAGGAGGAGAAAGAGGAGGAGGCGGAGGCGGAGGAGAAGGGGGAGGAGAAGAAGGAGGGGGGGGGGGAGGTTGAGAAGGAGGAGGAGAGGGAGGGGGGAGGTTGAGGAGGAGGAGGGGGAGGGGGAGGAGAAGGAGAAGAGGGAGGAAGAGGAGGAAGAGGTTGAGGAGTTTGAGGGGGAGGAGGAGAAAGAGGAGAAGGGAGGAGAAGAAGAGAAAGAGAAGGAGGAAGAAGAAAAAGCAAAATAGGAGGAAAAAACGAAAAAAGAAAGAAAAGAGGAAAGAGGACGACAAAGAAAAGAAAAACAAAAAAAAGAAGAAGAAACAAGAAGAGACCAACAAAGAAAAGAACAAAAAAAAAAAGAGAAAAAGAAGAAACAAGAAGAGACCAACAAAGAAAAGAACAAAAAAAAGAGAGAGAAAAAAAATCAAAAAGAAGAAAAAAGAAGAAGACAAAAAAAAAAAAAAATCAAAAAACAAAAAACAAAAACAAAAAAACAGAAAAAGCAAGTCTCCCAACACATCCGTCTTCCGCGCAGGAGAGTAGGATTCGGTATTTGTATCGGGAAAGGCATCTGCATCTCCCTGTTTTATAGCATTCTTCCAGCTTCCGGGAGATCGTGTATGAGTGAAGGGCTGTCGTAAGATTTCGCTTGGCTGGGGGGGAGGAGGGCGGGGGGGAGGGGGGGGAGGGAAGGAAAGGGAGGGGGGGAGGGGGGGATGAAGAGGGAGGGGAAGGAGAGGGAAGAGGGGGGTTGAAGAGGGAGGGGAGGGGGGTGAGAGAGGGAGGGGTGGGGGGAGAGGGGGAGGGAAGGAAAGGGAGGGGGGGAGGGGTGGGATGAAGAGGGAGGGGAAGGAGAGGGAAGGGATGATAGGATGAAGAGGGAGGGGAGGGAAGAATGGGGGGAGAGGAAGGTGAGGGGGGGTGAGAGAGGGAGGGGAGGGAAGAAGGGGGAGGGAGGGAGGGGTGGGGAGAGAGAGGGAGGGGAAGAGGGATGGTGGGATTAAGAAGGAGGGGAGGAAAGAAGGGGGAAGAAGGGAAGGAAAGAAGGGGAGGAGAGGGAGGAGGGGAGATGGGGATGAGAGAAAGGGGAGGGGAGAGGGATTAGGGATTGGGAGAAAAGGGGTGAGGGAGGGAGGATGAGGGAGGGATGGGAGGGGGGTAGAGGGAGAAGATGAGGATGGAGAAGGCGGAAGAAGGAAGAGGGTTGGGGGGGGGGGAATGGGAGGCGAGGGAGGGGGAGGGGGAGGGAAGGGGAGGCGAGGGAGGGAGTGAGGGAAGGGGAGGCGAGGCGTTGAGTGAGGGGAAGGCGAGAGAGGAATTAAAAGAGGGAGGGGCGAGGGAAGGGAGGGGGTGAGGGAAGGGGAGGCGAGGGAGAGGGTGAGGGAAGGAGTGGGGGGCATGGGAGGGGGTGAGGGAATTGGAGGCGAGGGAGGGGGGAGGGGTTGAGAGAAACGAGGGAGATAGAGGGTTCAGTGTGAATAAATAGGACGGGTAAGCGGAGGGGGGGAGGGTAGATCTTATCTCGTATCTCTCAAAAATAACAGCCATGATAAAGAAACTGTCACTGAAACTGTTACTCAATACGATAATTGCCATTACTTCTTCACCATCCATTAATCCATAAATATAAAAAAAAAACAGAACCCATTAACTGATAGCAAAAAACAAACAAACAAACAAAAATACACACACAAAAAAAGGAAAAAATTCCTCTTTTAAAGAACCACCTCCTGTGCCTTTCACGCACAAGTCAAATCACCATGCACCAGCTACGAAGGAAATGCAGAGTGTGTGCATTGTAATCTATAAAGCGCCATGCAAGTCTATCCCAGAGCTCGCAAAACAGCCGTCGTGAGATTTTTAAGTGTACAAAACAAGCGCTGAAGCATTGCCCAAGATGGAAATATACTGCTAAGCGAATCGGGACCGAATGTGAGACCGTTTCCTTATGTTATGGTCGTTGATAAGGGGCGATGGATTTTCTGCGTCTCTTCCTCATTCGTTTTTGTTTTTTTTATTCTGTCTGTCTTTTCATCTTTATAGATACAAACGTGCATACATATATATGTACGTACATGCATACATAGATGAATATATACATACATGCATACGTACATACATACATATATATACACTCACATACATACATATTCTTTCTTTCTCATTCTCTCTCTCTCTCTCTCTCTCTCTCTCTCTCTCTCTCTCTCTCTCTCTCTCTCTCTCTCTCTCTCTCTCTCTCTCTCTCTCATCCACTTTCTCTTTCTCCCATTCACTCTCTTTCTATTCTACTCTCTCTTCCACTTTCCCTCTCTCTCTTCCAATCTCTCTCTCTCTCTCT